ATGTTAAAGTAGGGGCTGGACAATCATTTAATAAGGGTTGCTTTAAGTTGCATTACTCCGTCAATTGAAGTCTATGACTTAAACAGCTTCTCCCTTTTGTATATACAGTGTGTGTGTGTGTGTGTTTGTGTGTGTGTGTATACATACATACACACACACACACACACACATATGCTGGTCTTGTTGTATTCGGGTCTTTTCCTGCATAAGATTGAGATTCTCTTGGCAACGTTACAGCTGGGCTGAAACCCAGTCTTTATAACAAATTCTTTACAATGACTGAAGAATGTGGGCATAACAAAATTCTGGCTAAAAATATTTTCAGGATTTTTTCACTTGGTCTTTTGTCATTGCTTCATTTTCACCAACTTTGGTACGCAGAACCAAAAGAGTGGCAGAAATAGTAAAAGAAAGATGAGCGAAAACTTGTCATTGGAGATGACTTCACAATATCCTCAGTGAAACTGACACACACTGCTACCTCCTATTCATGGAGTTCTACAATAGCTTCTAGACCAGTGATGGCTAATCTTTTTCTCCTTGCTTGCCAAAATTGTGTGCGTGTGTGCTATTGCACGTGCATGTGTGCCCACACTCACAATGAAATGCGCTCGTCTCCTGTATGTGTGGCCTCCCCATGCACATGTGCGTGCATGCCCCCTGCACAGCCTACTTCCCTTCCAGCACCATAGTGTGGGGGGTGTTTTTGCCCTCCCCAAATTCCGGAGACTTTTTTTGATCCTCCGGGAGGGCAAAAATGGTTTCCCTGGGCTCCGGAAGCCCTCCCTGGAGCCTCCTGGCACTAAAAATGGAGCAGGGGGGATGCACTGCACCCCATGTTCCCCCAACCCCCACCTATTATAGCGTTTTTCCAATGATCTTATCTTGACCATATGTTTTTGGTACACATTCTGAATATTCTATTACAAGGATATGGTGGGCAGGAATATGGTCTTGAATTTATTGCCTTGTTTTTCACAAAAAAATGTTGCTAAGATTACTCAATTATTTCTCAATTCTTCACATGCTTCTTTTCCTGTAAAACCTGTGTTGTTTCTTTGTTCATCTTACAACTTAAACCGGAGTAAGAAACAAATACTACGTAGGTCAGGACTACTTTTATTGTAACAGGCGTAGAACAAAATTTTGTAAGTCTGAATGTGCTCCCCCCTTCCTTTATCTTTGTGTGAACTAGAGAAGAGCCTATCTGAGATGATCTCTCAAATAAGTTTCTCAACTCCTGCTTATCTGACCTCTGCCTTAGTAATGATTCTTCATCTTGTCCTCCAAGGCTGTTGCCAATGTTCTCTGTATCATCTTACATTTACGTGCTTGTGAGAAGCTGCTAAAAACAAGAAGCAACTAGTGGTGCTTGTTATTACAGTATTCTGACCACGCTGCAGGATCTCATGAAGAGGTTTCTGCTAATTAGTTAGCACATATCTATAACTGAAAAAGCCAGAAACTGAATGTGTGATTTATCTACATGCAAAGCATTTGTTTTATCATAGTATCCTGCATCTTCTTCATGATGTTAGCCAACTCCAACCTGGTATAATCACAGGCCGTGGTGGCTGAGAATTCTAGAAGTTGCTTCCCAGCACAAATGGAAGTTACTGGATCAGAGAATGTGCTACTTTTTTCTCCATCCCATAAAAATACTGTCTTGGATACATGGCAAATCGCCCAGTTCTCCTAATGTTTAATGCTTTCAAATAAAAATAGTAGCTTCCATATTGAAAAAACACAAACAAAAATCCTGCCTCTGCTTTCACATTGTTTCTAGGAATATCGTATTTTGTGAGTGCATTCATTCTCCAAATTCTAAATATACTTTAAGTCTCTAAAGACTGCTAATCCCTGCCTTGCGGCAAGTATATAGATAGGAGGCTATAAGCATGGGTGTGATCCCTCTAATGTTCATGGATATCTGAACAAATGCTTTTCCAAGTGCCTCTCTTCAAGTGCTTACAGCAACACTCTAGCCTCATCTATATATATGATCTAAGTCTTTCCAGTCATGTTGGAATTGCATAGTTCTTACCAAAAGAATATTCCTTCTGTAATAGTTAAACAAGGCTCTTCTTTTACAAGTGGTTTAGGGCTGTAGATACTCCAGAATACATTGAGAGACATAGAATTCCTTTTATAAGTTTTTTTTTTGGGGGGGGAGCAAAATTTGGTGAACTTCAGTTGCCTAAGGTAACAGTAATGAAATATAAAATAATGAATGTTGTATTTGCTGAGACAGAGATTAACTTTTCCCATTTTTAAAATAAGCCTTTCTCCCCAAGTTCTTTTAGCAGTGGAAAATGAATTCAATGTCTGTTTTTTGTTTCTTTACTTCAGCTTTTGCCTTTCAGAAAATGCTCCTTTTTCAGAAAACTTCAGCTATGTTATTTTATCCCCGGTTCTGTCTTTTATCCCTTGGCTTATTATTAAACAGCTGCTGTACTTGCTTTGAAATGCTAACATGTCTTCCTATTGCTAAAATTAAATATTTCTGGATTGCACTTTCACTAAAGCTTAAAAGGATATGATGCATTTCCTTCTTCTACCAGCATCACTAACACTCAATCAACAAAAACAACAGCATGTGTATAAGGCTATGTATTAGGGACCAAAAATTTGGTTGTTTTGAAAAAACTCTTGGAAGAAAAAGAATCATTCAATACTTTGAATGATTGTTAAGCAATGTTGTTATTTATTTATTTATTTATTTATTTATTTATTTATTTATTTATTTATTTAGTCAAGCATCTATATAAGATAACAGATAAAAGTATAAACATGATTTTGAATACATGAAAAAAATACAAATAAAAAGAGACATTAGACAGCGACGGTAGGCACATTGGTGCGCTCATCCACGCCCCTTACAGACCTCTTAGGAATGGAGTGAGGTCAACAGTAGCCAGTCTAAGGTTAAAGTTTTGGGGGTTAGGGGAAGAAACCAAAGAGTCAGATAATGCATTCCAGGCATTGACCACTCTGTGTCTGAGGTCATATTTTCTGCAATCAACTTTGGTTTAACTTGAATTTGCCCATGTAATATTGCGGTTGAAGCTGAAGTAGTCATTGACAGGTCGGACGTTGTAGCAGACAATTTTATGTATTATGCTTAGGTCAGACTGAAGATGGTGTAGTTCTAAGTTGTCTAAGCCCAAATTTTATTACCGATAGAGGAATGGAGGACTCTTCTTGTAAAATATTTTTGGACTCTCTCAATTGCATTAATGTCTGATATGCAGTGCGGGTTCCAGACAGATGAGCTGTATTTGAGAATTGGTTTACCAAATGTTTTGTATGCTCTAGTTAGTAGTACAATATTACCAGAGAAGAGCTACACAAGATTATGTTAACAACTCTTAGTGCCTGTTTGGCAATGTTGTTACAGTGGGCTGTGGCACTTAGATCTTTAGAAATGAGTACTCCAAGGTCCTTGATAGAGTGCAGGTCATCTGCAAGATCATGTCCATCTACCTTGTATTTTATGTTCTGATTTATTTTTGCCAATGTGTAAAACAGAGCATTTATTGGTTGGGATTTGAAGTTTGACCAATCTGACACCTAATCAAGGTCTTTTTGAAGGGTGGTAGCATTGTCAGTGGTGTTGAATAGTTTTACATCATCAGCAAAGAGAANGCTTAGAGAGGGCTGAAAGCCCTATGAAGCGGTATATAAGTCTAACTGCTATTGCTAACTGCTAAGATCAAGCTAGACAACTCAGTGTTAATGTGATTCCCAGGAATTTTTTCATTGAGAGATTTGGGATTGGCATTATTGGACTTTAACATTTGGCAATGGCAAAGGAGAAGGGGAAAAAAAGACTTTTTGACTCAAAGGAAGCAAGACTGGGAATTATTAGTAAGCGATGAGTGAAAAAGAACTTGGATTCCCCCCCCCCCCCCCCCCAAGTAGCTTTAGTCTAGTTTATTTAGAATGCCTCAATTCTTTTTGGGGACTGAATTGAATTTGATATCTGAAATTTGAATCCCCTCTTGGCTATTACTAAAAATGAACAAGCTGTAGGGTTTTAATTTTTTTAATGTTCAATTAATTGGATGAAAATTTGTTGACGTTTATTAGAAGAGGAAGACAGCTCAGTTTTTTTTTAAAAAAAATGTTCAGACATTTCTTGTTTAAAAAAACAGTAATATGGAGGACATATTCAGAAATTTTATTTACCCTTCTGAGAGGAAAATCAGACCAACACATTTCTATCTTTTAATGGACAAATGTGAAGAAAATTAGAAGTAGAATAGAGGTGTGCCTATCCATACAATCTGAAAATTTTATGAGTAACATGACTGCTTTTGTTTGGTTTTTATGGAAAATGTTTTAGATTATCTTTGGATTGATTCTTAGACATTGCAGTGTGTTTGTAAACGTATGAAACTCACAATCATTAGTGAAAGCCAGAGATAGTTCAGAATCAAATTAAATGGCTTTAGAGGAATTCTGCCTTGATTTACATATTTATTATGTCCCAATCACCCTGATTCAGTTTGGGGGATGTTTAAATCTGGAATACACTTTGTAAAAATGTCCAGTATTACGGGGTGTATCAAGAATGGTACTTGAGGAAAGAATAGTTGGTGTCTTTTTCATAAAATAGCAAAATGGTCAAACAACATAACATCCAAAGAAGACTTTCAATACTTTTTCTTACCTTTAGATGTGAGTTATCTTCTGTTTTATCTATTGACAGCTCTGGTGGCCAGGAAATTTGCTCTGACATGTCCTTAATCCCAAACTGGTCTTGACTTGCTTTCTCTGTCTGCTGCTGGCTTGCAAGGATCATAACCAATGGGCTCTGTTCCAGGGGGAGCTTATCTTCTAAAGGTTGGCTGCAGTTGTTACCTCCACTCTTTGTCTCCTGAGTATTGATGGTTACTTGAGGAATACTTACAGACTCCAGCTTCTTAACTATGACTATTTTCTCAGTAGTAGAATCTATGTAAACAAATAAAATAAAAAGCAGATGTCAGGCCTGGAAGCCATCTTTTGCATTGGGCCTTTAGGCCTGCCACATTCAATGCTGTGGGAAAATGGGAGGGGAGGTTATATGGAGTCTGGGAGATATATAGTCATAATAACTTTCCTTTCTCAGAGGGTCAAGGACATCTTGTCCTGCACCTGGGAGGGTGTGACTGAGAGGCATCTCCAGTTGGGATGGTGCCTGATGTGACGGCCATGTGGGTGCTGGGCAGGGACTTGGACTTTCATTTGGGTTGGGAAAACCTGGAAACTTTCAGAATTGGGTTTTCCCAGATGTGCCAATATTACATCTCTAATAAAATGGAACTTTGAGGAATTTCAAGCCTCAGTGTCTTCTTTCATTGGGAGTCTTACTTGGAACCCTGACAGCAGATACCCAAATTTTAAAGAAGAAAACTAAACGATCCAAAGAAAATGAAGAAACCGTACAATTAAAAGGTCAACTTATTCTAAACCAACCTTCCTTAATATGAAACTGACTGCATATGACAATAGTTCTGGTGTTTTTTGAAGGCATCATACTGAGATGGCAGTGGGTGGATGGACGGACGGACGGACGGACGGAAATAGGCTGGCTGGCTTTTAAAATGGAAATGATTTTCTATTCTGGTAATGAATGGAGGCCATCTTAATTTTGTTGTTGGATTTATGCACTTCTCAATTTGAGTTTATCTTAAGGACAGATAATTTGAAGTCAATTGTGGCCGTGGCACGACAAATCCGCGCTCGTCAAAATAGCGGTGGTTAAACCGCGTCGCTAAAGCCACGACGTCATCACCGCGTGTCATCACTGCCACGACAACAGCGCGGCGACAGAAGGGCGATCCAGATACCTCCAAAGGTAGCTGCTCCTGCGGCCAGGCTGACAGCGGCAGCGGGCACGGGGCAAAGCAGGCTGCCCAGCAGCAGCAGCCCGTGGGAAGGGTCCAG